ACCTGCACCAATAGCACCTACAGTACCTGCACCAATGGCACCTCCATCTATAACAGCAACAACTCCCTCAGGAAGCAGTAGGCGCAGTAGGCAATTTGTTACTGCCACTAACTTGCAAGCACAATTATGGGAAAAAAGAAGGCAAAAGGAAGGGTAGAAGGAAGAAGAAGCACTTGGTCGTTGGGCAGAGTTATTGACTAAAATTCACACAGATAAACAGTCAAACGTTTAGACTGTGAAGTTTTTTTTATTTGAACAACTAGACTGTGAAGTAATTATGTGTTGTTTGCATGGATGCTTCTTTTGTGGACAGATTAGGGTGTGTATTGCCTGGATGATTGTTTTTGGACAGCCACCCCTGTTGAGTGTAAAGCTTTTTGTTGTGTGTTTAGGGTGTGCTTCTGTTTTGGACAAATTAAGGTGTGCTTCTGTTTTGGACAGATTAGGGTGTGTAGTACATAGAGTGATATTGCATGGACACTTGTTTTTGGACAGATATGGGAGTTTAGGTTGCTTGTTGTATTTGGCAGGGAATCTGTTATAATGTGCTTTTATTTTGGATTTGAACAACATATATTTTGTATTTTACTGTATATGCATTGTAATTTTGGTATTGGGATTAATGAAATGCATATATTGACTTTTGTGAATTGCTTTAGGTAAATGACCAATTGCCAAATTTGCCTATCTTTGGATACCAGAATGCTTTTGTGCAGAAATTGGTATAAAAATGCAATTGAAACAACCCAGAAACTGTGTTACCTAGAAATGGAATGCATTGCATTTCAACAACTGGGAATTGACAAAAACATAACAAAAACATTATACATATAGATACAAACACCTATATATAAACACCTATATATGTCCATTACATCAATCTAAACACACCAACTAATATGACAAGTACAGCCACGAACACAACAAAAACCACACACATTATGTGGTTGACTTTATTTGATGTCCGGTAATCCTTATCCAACTTTTTCAATTTCTTCTCAGCTGTCTTCATCTTCTTCATCCATAATTCACACTGATTTGCCAAATACCCATTATCATTCTTCAAAGTCTCATTTTCGTTCTTCAAAATATCATTCTCATTCTTCAAATTCCCAGTTTCTTGCACCAAATCAGTATTTTCCTTACTCAATTTCTCATTCTCTCTCTTCAGCTTCTGTTCCCTGTCTTTTAATATTAAAGGCAACTCCCTTGGTCTGCCCTCGATTGTCTCTTCACTAGGAAGAAAATGGAAGTACTTGCAAGGTTTCTAACAAGGTTAAATCATTAAATCAAAAAAGAAAATTCAGTGCAGATGAAATTAAGCTTTAGGATAGAACATACCACCAACTTAGGGCACCCACGAAACCTTTTTCCCATGTTCTGGTAAGTGAACGACGTTTGCACCACAGCAGTCAAACCACAATCACAGATATATTGTAAGGATTCACCCCCACTAGCAGTAGAGGCAACCCAACTCAAGCAACTCTCATCACGAACTCCCTGCATTTGGGCAATTTCTCAAGTTCCCCCGAGAAAAGAGAAGAAGAAGAAGAAATGGGTTAAGATCGAAGAAGTGGAGATGAAAGAGCAATTTAGGGTTCATAGGAGTAATTTATTGGTGCTTTGGCAGTCAATGTGGGGCCCATTTGGGTTTGGCGCCTTTGACTTCACGGGAAGATTACATGGCAAAAACATTTTGTCCATATCAACACTTTTCTAAATTTTACTATCCACGTCATCAAAAAAAATATAAAAAATGCCACATGGGCAGAGTTAACGGCCCAAATTAACAGAAGGACTAACGGAGTGCATTTCGTATAGTTGAGGGATCAAAAAAGTGCAAAAAATTGTTAAGAACCAAAAATGTGCAAACCACTAAAGTTGAGAAACCAAATTAAGCATTTAACCGTTAGTTTTTAAACTCGTTGTCGTAGTCAATTTCAGTTGAGATGATCCAACATTAAATGCACTGACTAATTGACCATTAGTCTGGTTGGAGTGTG